CTTTCCCTCTCCCTTATTCCTTCCTTTCTTCCCTTATTCCTTCCTTCCTTCTCTCTCCCTTATTCTTTCCTTCCTTCTCGCTTATTCCTTCCTTCCCACTCCCTTATTCCTTCCTTCCTCCCTTTTCTCTTCTTCCTGCTTTCCTCGCCTCCTTGCTCCCTCCCCCTCTCCCTTTCCCAAATCTATAAGAATGGCCTCCTTCCTTTTTTTCCTTTTTGCTGGCTTTCCACTTTTACAGTAACAGTCGGCTTAATGCACTTTCGATCGTTGCCAGAAAATGAAATTATCCTTGGGGCTGGCAATGTCTCCTCTGTCTGTTTGACCCCTAAATGGATCCAGCCTTCAGATCTGCTGTGTCAGGATTGATATTTACAATCATCGCTTTTAAAAGGCAGAGAGGGTGGCGGCCAGCCCGTTGTCCTGCGTCCTTCAAAGGACATTTCCTGAGATCTTGTGGGCACTCCATCACTGGAAGTCTTTAAGAAAAGATTGGACAGCCACCTGTCTGAAATAGTATAGGGTCTCCTTCAAGGTCCCTTCGTGCTCTTTTCTGATGGATTGATGAATTTTCTCAAACCTTGGACAAATGGACATGACCGGGTCCAGACCTAGACTGAAAATCTCAGAAAAGAGAGATACGGACCCCAACTTTTTTGCACCCAGAATTTTGCAGCGGTTTCTCATAGCCAGGTGTCCATCTTCTTTCTCCAAAACAATTTTCATATCACAACCCATCATAAAAATTGGGGGTAATTAAACTTGAGTTTTTCTTGCCAACAATTTGCCAGTTTCAGCTTCTCCTAATCCTGATTAATATGTTTTAAATGGGAGGACTTCAGTTCCCCGAATTCCTCAGTCAGCAAGGGTGGACTTCAATTCCCAGAATTCATGCTGGCTGGGGAATTCTGGGAGTTGATGTCCACCCGTCTTAGTTGCCAAGGTTGAGACCTGCTAGTCTTCTTCAAAATATCCCTCAGTGACTTTCCAATTTGCTGCCATCAAACCCATGTCTTCATTTATTGATCATGAAAACTAGGATCGGAGGGCTTTTGAAGGTGCCTGGATGTTCATTTGCAGAATGCCAATAAAAAGAGACTTTACGAGTTGGTCTGTTTCTTTGCTTTGTCGTATAAAGCCAATGATCCCAACTGCAGGCTGAGCTGTCTGTGGATGATGGGAGCAGTGGTCCCACTGGCTGGATTTGGGATCAGCGATGGATTGTTTCCCTTGAGAAAAAAAACACGAATGCCAGTTTTAAATCAGGGTTTTGAGTTATTAGGAAGTTGCGTTTGACTGCAAAATTTTGGGCTGGTGAATTGATTCTGACGGAGGGGCTGAGGAGGTTACAGCAAAGGCCTACTGCAAATGAATCGAACATTTTACCAGAATAATTCTTGATTATTATGAACTCATGCGAATTACGGCCTGTCAATACACCATAATGACCTGTGGTACCTGTGAAATTAGATACAACGGCTTTTAAACGCTATTAGGTTGTGATTTAAAATGCCTCATTGTGAAACATGGCTCTTAAACAGTTAATAATAGTGCATTATATAGTAGTAAAGTTAGTTAATATTAAAATAACACTAATCATTTTGTTGAAATATCATTTTATATTATAAATATAAAAATACAGAATATAAAATATACTAATGTACATATGGTACATTCATTGCACATTCATTCATTATGAACTGTGTTACTACTACAATAAATTATCCGATAATATATTTATTTCCATGGAGTAGCGATGGGTCAGACAGGACTTCGCAACTAACAACAAAAACAACAAAAAATAACAGTATATAAAATATACTATTAAAATATACTTAAATTATCTGATTATTATATTAATAGGTCAATACATAATGAACTAACATACAATTATACATCATATTATTTTATTAGTATATTATTTTTTATATTTCTTTATATTTATTATATTATTCATATATGTATAAATATGTGTGTGCGTGCATGTCTGTGTGTGTGTATAAATATAAATATAAATATTATTAATGATGCTTCCTCACCTTCCTGGCTCCTAAAGGGGTGAAGCTTCACCGGTTGAACTTCCGCATAGCCCCTCTTCCCCCGCCCCCTGGAACGCCGGCGAGGCCCCGCCCCCGAGTGGGCGGAGCCGCCAACGGAAAGTGGGTGGGGAAACGACCCAGCAACGGCTGCCAGGGGAAGCGCCCAGCCGGTTGCCGGGGCAACGCGGCAGCTGTTTCGCCGCGGCTGCACCTGAGCCTCCGCGCCTGCGCAGTTCCCCTGCCCTCGACGTCACCCCGTCCCCCTCTTCCCCTCCCTCCCTCCTCCTCCTCGTCGCTCCCATTGGGGAGCAGCGCCCCCTCCCCTCGGCCTCCCTCCCCCCGGCAGGACCGGAGCGGGGCGGGGGGAGCAGCGGCGGTGGCGGCGGGTGAGTATCAGAACAGCCCCCCCACACACGTTCTTCCCATCAGGCACCGCGCAGAGGGGGGTTAAGGGGACGGGGACTTTGGCAGACTCACCCCTCCCGTTCCACCCCTGGGGGGGTGATGAGGAGGGACCCCAACCCCAGCCTTCTTCAATGACTGAGGAAGGGGAGCCCCCCCCTTAAGAGGGGAGGGAACTGGAGGAGGGGGGGGCGTTTTCCTGCAGGGTGAGACCCCTCCCCACATAAAGAGGGAACCCTCCCTCTGGGAAGGCTGAGGGGAGCCCCCCACACTAGTTGAAGACCCCCGTAGGATAAGTGGGGGTAGATATGACATGTGGAGACCCCTCCCCACTTAAGGAGGGAGGACTTCCTCTGGGAAGGCTGAGAGGAGACCCACTGCTACTGAGGACCCCCCCCATGGAATGACTTTTAGGGAGACCCTCACTTAAGGAGAGTGTCCCCCATTCTCTAAGGAACTTTGTGAGCGCTGCATCCATCTATCTATCTATCTATCTATCTATCTATCTATCTATCTATCTATCTATCTATCTATCTATCCATCCTTTAATCATTCCATCTATCTATCCATCTATCTCTTTCTGTCTATTATATCCATCCATCCATTCCTTTATTTAATCATTCCATCTATCCATCTATCTCTTTCTGTTCATCTATGCATCTATGTCTATTCTTTCTATCCATCCATCCTCTAATTAATCATTTCATCTATCCATCTATCTCTTTCTCTGTCTGTCTATTCTGCCTACCTACCTACCTAATCCATCTATCCATCCGTCCATCCATCCATCTAATCTATATCATCCATCTAATCTAATCTAATCTATATCATCTATCTTATCATCTCTAGGTATCTGTCTATCTCTCTATTTATTTATCTACCATCTCTTATCGGTGTACAGGTAGTCCTTGACTTACAGTGGTTCACTTAGCGACCATTCAATGCTACACTTCACACTTAACGACTGTTGTAGCCTCCCCATGGTCATGCGATCAAAAGTTGGCCCGCTTGGCAACTGACGCGTATTTACGACGGTTGCAGCGTCCTGGTGTGCTTTGTATATGTGTGTGTGTGTGTGTGTGTGTGAGACCTTCTGACAAGCCAGAAGGGGGGGGGAGCCAGATTCATTTAACCACAACCCCATGATTAACTTAACAACAGCAGGGATTCACACATTCACAGGTCGTAAAACGGGGCCAAAACTCCCTGAAGAAATGTCTCATTGCCTCGACAACATAAAATTGGGGTTGTTAAGTTGAGGACCCCCCCTCCCCGCCCCCATGAATCTTAATTCCACCCTCCAGGTTCCCCCCCCCTCCGGCCTTTCCCCTCTGGCTTCAAAACCCGCCTTGTGCACAGAATATAATTCTTTTTATTAGCTTGTTTTAATCTTCTTTTAACTGGAAGAATCGATCTGGGTTTCTCTTTAGAGAAAGGAAGGGCTCAGTACCCACGAGGAGGACCCCTCCCCTACGCACACACACACACACACACACAGACACACACTTTCCTTTGCAGCGGATTGTGGATTGTGGCATGGTTGCGATGCTCCTTTTTTCCCCCCTTCCACCCTCCTGGAGATGATAGCAACCAGACCCGAGTCCAGCTTCTCCCTAGAATAGCGCCCCTCCCTTTTGTCTCTCCCCCACCCACCCCCCACCCCCTCCCACCTCACAAGCTAGCTGGTTAGCCGTCTGGCTCTCTGATCTCCTCCATGCTGAAGGTGGGACATCACCAGGATGGGAGGGTCTCCCCGCTTTCGTTAACCCCTGGATGGAAAATGTGCTGGGGAGTGGGGCTGGGCTGCTGAGCCTTTAGCAATGGGCTGGGAAGAGGGGGGATTTAAGGGAAAGGCGCCGGAGGGAGGAGGGGGCTTGGAAAGTCCAAGGGTGGATCCTTCAACTTGCTTGCCTGCATTGCAGGTGGAAAAAAAAAAGAGAGAGAGAGAGAGACTGTGTCTTTTTTTTTGCAGTGGGG